CAAATTTTGACTCCAATGAATGAAAACTCCAAATATTCTCGTATAATGATAAAGAGGTTAGCTCTGCAATATAATTTCTTTAAATTCTTAAAATACTTCTTACACTGATATTCGGTAAGTTATTGATGGATCAATATACAGATATGTTTAATATTCAATAATCAGTTTCATATAAAATTTAAGGGTGAGATTGTTAATCTGGAAATAAAATACAACAAAGTCCACGAGTGCTCGATGAATGAGTATGCTAACAAACCAACTGCTTGGAGGGAAAAGAGGAGAAAAAAAATGACTAAACGAGGCCCACCAAATCGTGGCGATATACCAGTGTTTACCATTTTAGTATGTTGTTATACTAGGTACTTATATTTTTAATACATTTTGATACAAATTCTGTTTTTCTTACTTCTGGTTTCTGCAGTGTAAATAATAATTTTATTATTGTGTTATTTGCGCTATTGCGTTCCATGATATTAAGAAATATAAGAATTTTATTTTTTAACCACTTAATCCATTTTATGGAAGAAAAATGGTACATTTAATACACAACAAAAATGGAACAATTTTAAGGCTACTTCTCTTGAACTTACAATCGAGATACTTTTGGAAAATACAAAGTTTTGCCTTCTTAATTTTCGTTCTAAAAAGATATAATTAGTATCATTGAATAAATAATTCTTAAAAAGAACGAAAAGTTAGGCATCAAAATTTGTATTATTTCCTAAATTCGTTCATAAGAAGTAGTTTTATCTAGCACAGGATGTATATACGAAGCAAAATACATACTTATACATGCGGTAGTCACAACTGCAATGTGTAAACAGAGTTTAAACGCAATACACAAGTACTGTGTATCCTACGGCACACTGTGTATCCCTTACTTTGTGTATACGTAAATGCTATACTGTGGCTACATTGTAAGGCGGACGTTTAACCCAACCAACGTGTTGAACTACAATGTGTAAACGTAGCATATTTACATCGGGGGAATTGTGTCACCCTGTGTCTGCATCTAATAATATAAACACATCGTAAATGTGATTTGATGTGCTGTACGGGTATATATTGAAAAAAATACATTTACGACGTAAAAAAGTCTCATGGTAAATATAGCTATAATACCAGTAATGGTTCTCGAGATATTTGGAATCGAAATTATCAAAACCTGCCATCATTGACATACATTAAACATGTTGACTAAATAGTTCTTAGCCTGAAATCATAAATTTGAAATGTTTTTGTGCCAAAAGTTAATTTAAAAAAAAATCCCAAATTTATTATTTTAGTCAAATAACTGACATGTATTGACTAATTTCATTCTAAATATCTTGAGAACGGTTGCTCGTAGCGATTTTTACCAAGAGACATTTTTTACGTAGAAAGTCACGGAAATGTATATTTTCTACTCGGTAGTTTCATACAGGTACGGTCGAAAAGTTATTACTCTTCAATACAGTTAAAACACATGTAGGTGGCGCCCTCTACAAATAAGAGTGATATTGACATCAAAATCAAATTTCTCATGTCAAAAAACTCCCAGACACCAATTTTCATCCCAATATTGACGTTACTTCAGAAATTATTTCGAAAAAAATCGAAATAAAAATGAAACTTCTACACCATGTATCTCCGAAACTAAGCCATTTTAGGACCTAATTTATACGAACTTTTTTTATTTATTTTTATCTGCAGAATATGCTGCCGAAGTTTCTGGAATATTTTTTCTCATGTAAAGTATCGGAAAATAAAAAAAGTAAATCCTCATATGGATTTTGGCCATAGACTTAAAATAAAACATAGACTGAGCATCTCATTCATAAATAGCTGGAACATGCGGTCAGACACTGTCTTGTTATTGTTGTGTTATTGTTTTAGGTTATAACGAGTGCGACACGAGCGATAGATAGGTTGTCTCTGTCGTAACGGTCGTTCTCTGACGGCTCTGCCGAGAAACACAACACTGTCTTTCGTTTCTCAAGTACACCTGAACTCTCCGTATCATAGCCGGGTAATTATTTTATTTTAATGAAGCTATAATTAAATTAAAAATATATCGTATTTAAACTTTTTATATTTTATTAAGATTTAGGACAGGTTTTTTAAATAAAAGTTTACAAAAAACAATTTAGAGTCCAAAAAGGATAAAAATAATAAAATACACGTTATAGAAGAAATTTTATAATCGAAATTAGGTATTTTTTGAAATTAATAATAAATTATTAATTTTAGTCAAACATTTACAACCCCTCTCCTAATATTAATCAAAACAGGATCTATTCCACAGATATAATAGAATCGGCGACAGGGAGAGAAAAAAGAATATGATTGTTGTCATTTTTTTTCTGGTTAAGTGATGTCTTATTATGTAAATTAGAGAAAACATAAATCTGTTCCATTAAAGCAAGGAAGGTGATAGGAAGTGGATAAAATAAAAACTACATTTATTTAACTCGGTACTATCTTTATTATACCGGGTGCGTCTCAAAAATTTTTAAATAAAAAAACAAGATTTAGTATGTTAGTATATGAAATAAATTAGGATTGATTGACGCATTCAATTGTTTTTGGTCACTTCCTGTTTCACCGGAAATGACTATAACTTTTAATTTTTAAACGACACCCTCGGTATATTTCTACTTTATTCGATAGAAAATGACACTCTGAATAGAATGACATACCATATGTCAACTTTTGGCATTTTCGCATATGGTTTAATTATAATTGTAACACGCGGTTCATAACGACAATTTGACTCGAAATACCAAGTGTGTGGTATCAATATATTCATAAAAAATGCTTTTTCCAAATATGCTAATGAGTCACCCTTGTTCCATTTGAAAAAATTGACATATGTATGATTAAAAATACGATTTGTACATCTTTTAACCGGCTTAGACAAGACACGAAACCTATTAGACGATCAAAACTATTTTTCCAAGGCTCCTTGATTGAAACTTAGTGGATTGAAAAAAACTGGATTGAAATTTAAAATAGGATATGTTTTTAAGCGACAATGTCAAAAGTTGACATATGATATGTCATTCTATTCAGAGTGTCATTTTTTATCGAATAAAGTAGCAATATACCGAGGGTGCCTTTAAAAATCAAAAGATGTAATCATTTCGGTGAAACAGGAAGAGACCAAAAACAATTGAATACGTCAATAAATCCTAATTTATGTCATATACCTACTAACATACAAATCTGTTTTTTTATCTGAAAAAATAATAAAAGTTATAGGGGTGAGCCACTTTTGAGACGACCCGGTATATTAAAAAATATTGTTTCATAATGTAATATCATTTTAAAATTCTTGTATGTTATTTTAGATTCTGAAGATAATTTTAGAATAAACCGGAATATATTTTTAATAAAAACATTATTAATTATTAACAGGGTTATAATTATGATTTTGTTACAATGTAAGTAAGTAAATAATGTAATGTAAGAGAAAAAATTCAGATTTTACATTTTACTAAAATATTATCTAAATAAGCGCCTTTCTACAACAACGCCACTGACTCCCAATGGGTAAATTGAGAGTTGCCTACCGGTCAAAAGTCGTTTCAAGACTTAAATGGATTATTTAAGTCAAATTTCTTGCAAATTTGGCACTGGCGAACCATATTTTATAGTTCTTGAACAGAAAAAGTCAATAAAATAAACACTTAAGCACTACAAGCTAAGAAAATGCGTTAATACAGCCGGGGAGATAGCGGCAACAAAGCTTTACCGCACACGTGCGACACGTACTACAAGGTAATAAATGAATGAATAGGCTCCCTCGCCTCTAATCGGTGTTGTCATATTGTAAAGAACTTATCCTTTTTAAACAGTATCCGACTTATAATTTAGTAGTATAAGGACTATTTAATACATCTCTGGAATATTAAAACCTACTTTATTAAACTGTAGTATTAATATCTCAATATATGTGTATAACAAGAAAAAAAATATTGATAATATTAAAGACGTGACAACATAGGCTGGATGAGGAAGGCTCGGTCGACTGTACCCAGAAGTAAACATGTGTACAAAAAAGGTTGTTTGTCCGCGTTGAGATGTAAATAGTGTAGTCTATATTTTATTTTAAGTCTATGATTTTGGCCAAGAACTAACATTTGGAATAATTTATTCGATTGGAAAATGAGATATTCTTAATAACTAATTTCTGAGACTAACAATTGATATATCCCGACAATAGTTAAAACTAAAAAATGTTGTTTCATAAGTAAAATAAGGGGTTGAAAATCCAGTTTAACATAGCATCGATAAATTTTATTCTGTCATTTAGATTTATTTATTTTTGATTTTGTTATCTTATTTTAATATAGTGATGTTAAATCCCAGTCTGAACAGAGACCTATGTAGTATGGTTGATTATAATCTAATGGTATTTATTTTATCTGTTAGGGCGTTCTATGTTTACTATTTCTCTGAGATTTCGACGCTAGTATTATTTATAATAGATTGCAAATTCTCCCACAGCGTTCAGCACTCGGACGGGGCAAAACGTTGTTGCTAGAGGTTAGAGGTTAAATAGAAAGAGGTAATGCTGTACGGTATCTTCCATGCACGCATCATAAACGTATATTAAAACTTTATGACTACAAATTTCTGGAATTTTTGTCTCCAGTGTTCGGAAGCTGTGAAGACGTAATTTACCTGATTAACTATGTGTAGTTTTTTTTCAAAAACTACATCTTTTCCCGTTCGTTAACTACATGAAAACTACTTTAATATACTACATATTGTTATTAGGGTAGAAAAACCACCCTGTAAATAAAAGGTTAATTTTGATAGAAATCTGTAATGCATAGGATTTTTATTTAATTAAAGAATTATAAATTCATAAAATAAACAGAATATAATGTGTACCTAACACAATATGTTAAAATTATTATAAAATTCGAAAACTCAAATCCTATTTGTTTCTTTTTTATTTGTTTTATATTATTTTCATTTTATTTAGTTTTGTTTTTCTTTTTTGTTTATTGTAGAGCTGCCGACGTTGTCGGGCGACCTTGACATGGAGGTGGCGAGTATCCCCCTGACGAGGGGACTCCCACCTCCCAGTCACAAACCCAGCAAAAAGGAAGCGAAATTATTGCAGCAAAAACTGGAAAAACTCGCCAGGATAAACATACACTTACACGGTAAGATTTTTTGATTTGTTTATTATTTTTTTGTTTTATTTAAGTTATTTGTTATTTATTTTGATTTTGTTGGGAAACACAGATACAGTAAATCTGTTGGATCTGTGTCTATGAAAGGAATGCTGATAAAAAACATTTAAATAAACAGCAATATATTTTATACGTCGACTTGACGAGTACGTCACCGCAAATCGCTCCGCCCACTCATTTTATTGGCTACTTGCAAATTTGTCGAAGTTTTATTGATGGGACGCGCCGTCTAATTTTTTACGAAAAACATCGAGAGAATATCGTTTCCCCTCTCACGGATACCCCGTAGCTACAGAACGAACAGACGTACTGTATACTTTTATTTTGTTTGCAAGAGTTTGGTCAACTAAAAACGATTTAAACATTATGCTATTTTTTGTTTTTGTATAATAGTGTAGTTTTTTTAAAGTAACTATAAAAAGTACAGAGTATCTCATTTTGATTGCCAACTGACGGTTATCTCTCTTATTAGTACCTTAGTAATATAACCTTGTAGTTTTTAAGAACCTGAGCTGCTTGTTTGTAAAGCCAAAGATGCTCCAAACAAAATTGTCATCGTCTCATTAATTTTCATGATACAGGTTTTGAAAATGTTTTTTTTTGTAATTTCAGACACCCCTCGTAATATCAGTTGTGTGATCACTTTTTGAAAAGTTAAAAACGAAATCTTATAGAACTTTTTACATAAAATCAAGTGGCATAGTTAGTTTTTTCTTAATTTTTCCATTTTTGAGATACTGAACAATGTTTGGATTTTTTTAATGAGACACTATGTATATGTATATTTTTCAAGAAATTATTTTGTGTTTTTGCAAAATTTTCAAAAATACATAACAGTATTGATCCATTTTGACAAACAATGACAAAAATCATAATTTTTTTTATTGCACATCTCTGACAGTATTGAATCTATACAATAAACATAATAACACTCAATTGCAAACCAAAAAACACTCTGTATACGGTGGAGTTTCGCATAGATCTTGGAAGAAAACGAAACTATATAAGAATTCAATTTTTGAAGCATACGAATGTTCGAACAGCATTTTAAAATTATCTGGAGCTCTACAGTATTCAAAAAAATATTTATGTAGTACCACAGATTATACAGATTATAAACTGTGTTTTTTCTTTTTTGTTTTTCGTGGTTCCAATTTTCGGAATTGGGCACTAGTTAGGTTACTAGTTTGCGCACATAGCACGCCCACTTATAGCCTGTAAAATTGTGCACAGCGCCTGACCGGCACAGTTATTAGAGAGATATCGGAAAACCGAATAGCGTCATGCAGTATTTACACGTACCTTATCATGCGCGATATGCGCGAGTCAATTTTTAACGCAACACCCGCTAATAACGTTACCGCCTGACGTAATTTGCGGATCAATTACACCAAGCGCTATTTCTTAATAACGTTTAAAAATTGCTTAAATGGGCGGATATTTCACAACCGGGGTCGGCCGGCGAGATCTTTTATTTTAGGTTATGTTTGAATTGTTTTGAATTATTACTTTAGTTTTATTAGGTAATTTGATATTTAAGTAGCTGGGATTAGTTTTAATTAAATAAATATGGCCCAAAATATGGATTCCACCTCTTCCAATATTAAAGAACCTATAAAGAGGCTTAGGTTTACAGCAGATGACGACTAAGCCCTTCTAAGATAATTTGTTGCTTGTTGCCCTAAACCCACTGGCAGACGTTGAACAATAAAGCACTGGAAATAAGTACTTTAGCCCTTTAGTTTTAAAATACCTAGTAAACAAAACAATTTCAAAGTTTTAAATTCAAAGTTTGGTTAAGTTTAAATAGCGGACGCGACGCGAACAGAATTCTTTCCGATCCGATAACTATAAATGAAGAGAGTTAATAGCACCTCACGTAAAAGAAATAACACCTGGCCTTATTAACGTCCATGCAGGCTATTCGGTTTAGCGATATCTCTCTATTACGCTGTTTGTGCAATCTCTATTACTATTGTTATTTTACGCGAGTTTATTTTTGAGCACAGGAAATTGTACTCGTTTGCACATCGTCATAAAAAACAATTTTCGTACCACGAATTAAGGACAAGATTTTTATCTGTATACTTATAGGATACCTAATCTGTGGTAGTACTACATGAGTACCAGTATGTCAAGTTACATTTTTTAGCAGAACACCCCATATGTTAATGTTAAATCTTACAGTTGCCTAAAGGTTATGTTAAATTTTAATTTTTTGACGTATTTAATATTTTTGAAATAAAATATAAACAATACAATTTAAATAAAAACTACCTAAATTACAATTTATATTAAACATGCAGTTAAATAAATCATTGTACGATAAAACACACATTTAAATTTGAATTGGAGAGTTATAAAGGATGAGGCAAAAATTAATACTGTAACATTAGTCACTTTTGAGGGTAAGTTACTTTTTATTTTATAATTTATCCTATACATACATATTATTTAGATGTTCGGTATTAAAAAAAATCGCTAAATACGTTAATGCTGCTAATAAAAAGTAATTTCTCATATTAATTATTAAACTATTGTGAATTTTAGTAATAATTATTTTGAATAATGGACACTGCCAGCACAGATTATTTCGAATTTTTTTTATCAATAAAAAAATTCTTATTTTCTAAGTAAAGATCTGGAAATTCCTTGGTATAGTTTTTTAAAAACTGTTTTTTTTTAAATTGTAAAATTAAATTCCATAAAAAATATCTAAATTATGTTTATAACTAATTATTAATTACATAACTATATGCCATAAAAAAAGTTCGAAATTGAATTAAGAAACTTTTTTCTACTTATTTTTTTATTTTTATATTTCTTAAAAAGGCAGTCATATGATTTCAGCTACCGTAGAATTCTGAATATTCTACAAAAATTATGTATAATTAGTTGGGTGCAAAATTCGTGTACATGTCAATCTTATTATCATATTATCAGTCACATATTATATTGAATAAATTATAGGTTTATAATAACTATGCTAATAACGCTAATTATTGTATAGTAACATTGTGTATTAAACAAATTAACCCATTAATAAATTTTGATTCATAATTTGTTGTCCATCATATCCATCTGTTTAATTTATATCATCTTATGCAACTTAATTATACTGTTAATTATGATTATACGTCCGTGTTTTTTCTCCTATTTATTGTTACTAAAAAAATCTCTAAAAACTGGAACTTTTTGTAGAATGTAGAATGTTTTGGAGGGGAGTTAATCACCGCGACCTTATAGATCTATTGTGTGTTCCCCTTTCTTGAGTTATAACGAGTTATAACTCATCATACAGTCTCAGGGCTTTAACAAAAGCCAGTATCTGAGACGGCTCCACAGAGGCCAGTTCTCCATCCTCGACATCAGACGTGCCAAGGTTCATGGCACGAATGGTCGTCGTCTCGGCGCACTCAGTGATAAGATGTTCTGGTGTTTCCCCATTTTTCCCCACAAAATCTGCATTCGCCGTTGTTTCTCAGTTTCAGCCTACTGAGGTGTTCGTTGAGGAGACAGTGTCCTGTTAGAAACCCCGTGACAATCCGAAGATTGTTTTTACTTAAATCAAGGAAAACCTTTGATTTTTCTCGGTCATAAGTTCTGAGGAACTTTTTCGAGTGTCTTAGACCCTTGGAGGACACCCATTCCAAGTTACGGATGGAGTCTTCCAGATTTTTCAGTTCCGCTTTCAGTTGGTTCCCGTTTGGAAAACAGAACGGTTCTGGTCCAGTTAGTGGAGTGTTCGCTCCTTTTCTAGCTAGATCATTTGCTTTTTCATTGCCTTCTATCCCTTGGTGAGCAGGCACCCAGAGTAGGAGGACTTTATTTTCTTTGCCTAATTTGTTGAGCTTCTCTAGGCATTCTTTGACCAACTTCGAATTGATGGTTACTGAGTTGATCGCGTTTAGTGCTGCTTGACTATCGGATAGGATGGCTATTTCCTGTTCTCGATAGTTCCTATCTAGATAAGGAACTTTTTACATACATATATTACAGTATGTACGTAAAACTTTTCAACACTTTAACCAATAAATTAGAAAAGCTATTCGATCGGTAAAATAAGAACTTTTACAAATGTTTCTGTAGGTGTGAATGTGTGTGTCCGTCCAATAAAGTTACGTATGCCTAAGGGGGAATTTTATTTAGTTACAAGAGCTGCAAACTTCTAGATGAAACTCCTGAGAGAAAATTACCGTAGTTCTTTATATGTTTCTATGTAACCAGGGTTGGATCCGTGGTAAACTCAACGATTTATTTATTACGTTACGTTCATATATTTTTAGTTTTTACATGATACAGCAAATGAAGGGTCCAGGGGGGAAAACATTATAAGCACTATTTTACTAATTTTACAGGAGAGCTCTGGACGGCTGGTGGTTATCAGGTTCTTTCCGTGTATTCTATATTTTTACTAGGCATATATCATAGGATTTAACAACTTATTGCCCTCCAGAGTTTATAGGTACATTTTGTAGGGACCGATTAGACCTACTATAATATTGTAAAACCATAAAATTAAGAAATTGGCGCATATCAAGTTTTTCCCCTGGCCCCTTCAAAATAGTAAGAATTTTCAAAGTAATGAACCCTTTTCATTCAAAAGGGTAAAATTTAAATGTGAGATCTAGCCACAATAGGTCTTTGCGGTTACAGTAAAGGGTCTCTATCTCAAGACCTTACCTTTAATTAGAATACAAAATACTCTCTTGATTTAATTTTAAATTCTGATATAAGCTTAAAAAACTACGTCACAGGGGTCTTGAATGGAAATGAAATGACTGTATTTTCTCTCGGATAGACCCTTCCAATTTTCCATTGGATTTATTAAAATTTTGACGTTAATAGACAAAAATCTAACACACAATCAACAAAGACAACGCCTTGTGACTATCTTTCGATGCGTGTCAAATATTCGTTAGCGAGTAATAGCAGTAGTACATCTTATTGTAATGAAACCTTGATTGTAC